CACTTGAAAACAAAGTTAGTGAAAAATACTCGAACAGGTGCCAATTTGTCTTTTTGTCTAGTATTTTGGGTGCCAATATGGCTTTGCGTCTAATATTAGAGAAATTCTGTTACGAATAGAAACTACTTCTGTCAATTTAATGGTGAGATCTTAATAACGTGGAACTTATTAAAATAAGGTTATTTTAGTTAGTAGGGCATACTCACTTAATTAGCAAGTATTTCAATTGAATCCGCTTAAAATGTGATAGAAATAATTGATGCTATTTTTAATATGTTCTTGAAAACACAGTCTGAAGGCAAAGTTAGAGAAGAACGGAACATTATATTTGTTAAATAACCTAAATGGTTATTAAAATGCAATAAAATTATAAATATGTTCTTGTGAAGTGGATTATTGCACAAATCACACTTAGGGAGATTTTTTTTCTGTAATACCTAAATATGTATGACATTGAGATTAGTTGATTCTTAATGTCAACGCCCCATTATCTCCTACATACAAACCATTTGTCCTCCTTTTATCCACTCAATAGCATGTCTGCAATAACCGGATATCACTGAAGAGAAACACCACATTTCATGAACAAGTAATTAAAAATGTTCTAAAGCAGGTTTATGTAGGGCTTACGCTTGATTTTGTTCTTAGCTTTATTTAATATATCAAAAGTTTTTGTGATTCAAAGACCGCTCATTTGTAAAAAAAGTATGAATTTTAATAAAATGCTGGCTAATTTTTCGGCTAGAGTAATATGTTAGATCTCTGTATCACCTGAAAATACTATAGAGGAAAAAACAACCCAGTCAGAAGACTCCCAACTAACTAAAAAGCAATAAAATATTTATTTTTTACTGATAAGTTATTGTCTATTATTGCCTTTGAAACGGAGCTCAATATATGCTGCTTAACGTATTTGCATCGAGAGGATCGTGGCTGCGAGTGGAAAATCAAACAGTTGAATGACATTTAATGTTCTCTTATGGGGGTAATTACGAGAGAGCATGATGAAGAAAGTTATAGGAGAGAAGTATGAAAAGTTCTATTAAACTCAAGATATTACCAAACGAGTCAAATTAATATCTAGTTAACTAGTATAGAAATAAATTTGAATCATTAAAATTAGTTTAAAAAATATATCGCATATATACCACGCATCCCTCTGGTCAAAGGCCCTTGAAATTTTTGTCGCCGCTCGATCATTAGATCTTTTATAACGCCCTTAGTGCATAAATAACAATTCCATAATTGTTTATCATCCCTACTTTTATGCCGTCTCTCTCATTCTGTTGCTTTCCCACTGACGTATTTTTACGATTCCTTCACACTTCGTATTTTTTCTGACGTTTGCTCGTGCGGTCTATGTTCTTATCCATCCTCTTTGTTCGTATCCGCAGACCGGTCCCGCGCGGTGCCGTAATCGCCCCCGCGCACCGTCGTGCTCGCCGGCCCTTTAAGCCCGTGCTATCGCGGTCAGGGCCTCGCGCTCGCCTTCTGTTCAAGTGCCGTTGACCGTCACGTCGAGCCGCGCTGCGAGCGCCACAGAGGCGACGACGTCACCGTCACTTGGCCCGCGTCACCACAGCTGCCGCCGCCCGCACTCCTCGATAGCCGTCGCCTCACTGCTTCACTTATCCCCTTTGTCCCCGCCACCACTCCATCCTATCTCGTCCTCCTGACATCTTCAGCTCTGTGGCCACCTTTCTGTCCTCGTCCACCTCTCTCTCACCCTCGATATCTTCCTTCTTCTCCCCAACTTTCATCCTTGCCTTACCTCTCCCGCCCCCTGCCTGTCGCAGCCCCTCTGTATCCTACTGCCAAGCTCTCCATTCCCTTCCCTCTGCAGCCCTGGCTCTCCCTGTGCTTCCACTCACTCCTCCGACCTCCTCCTTTCATTCCCGGCGTCCGCACCCGCCCTCACTGACCCCGTTGAACCCTAGGCCGCATCGTCGCTCCCCGCGGCTTCTGCCATTCCCCCGCGGCGGCAGTTCGGTAACCCATGCCCCGCGCTCCCTCCCCCTCTGCCTTTGAGATCGAAGCTGCCTGCGCCCCCGCTGCCACCGCGTTCATCTGCCTAAAACCGGGACGAGCCCTCGCGGCCCTCCGCCCTTTCGATCGCCGGCGGCCGCGGACGACGCGCCCTGCGGCTGGGGACGCGGAAATTCCTCCGCCGAAGGCCCTGGACGGCGCCGCACACGCGCTGGCGAATCGGCGTTTCATCCGCCAATCGGCCTCTCAAATAGCGCTTGGGCCTGGCCTCATTTAACTTTCTGAAGGCAAAATCCGAAGTGGTTGAGAATGGAAATTTTAAGAAATAAATTACCAGGCTTTAAGTTCATTGGTCTATAGTTAATATTGTTCAAAAGAACACCAATATATAAACACATAATATTTGTACAAAAATGTATCACTAATAATTTTTTACGCTTTTAATGATTGAGATCCCTGAAAATGTTTAAAACTCAAAATAGAATCATTATGTGGTTTACAACTTCAAACAGATATGTACCAAGTTGTACATGTACATTGTGTACAATATGTACATTGAGAGAAATGCTCTCTTTTTCGTAGTCTAGAAATAGGTCAGAAATGATTTTCGTGTAGGTAGTTCAAGTGTGAATTTGTAAGAAACTAGATCATTGATTTGTCTCTGTAAATATCTCAAAGAAGATGCAGATTGTAAAAAAACAGTGAGGTTTATTAGGTTCATAAGATTAAAAAGAATGGTATGTTGCAGAGATACAACTTTCTACGTAAGAATATAAATAACTATTTTTACCCATTACATCAGCAAAAGATTTTCTCTACCTAATTAGATATTATGCCATCTAATTCTACGTTTTTCTTGTTTCAAGAGGTTATATTCCTTCAGGGTTTTTATGCTCACCGCCTTATTTGCCATTCCAGGGCATGAAGATCCTTATTTTTATTTTCATTTCTATCCTTCTTTCTCTTTCATTGTCATTTTCTTCCTTTGTTATGCTGTATTTTACGACAGTTTCATTATTGTCAAAATGAATTTAAAGATACAAAAAAGGCTCCAAACATGCCCATTGGACATTGTATTCTACAGTTTCCGAAAATCAGTTTCCGTGAAGACTGTATCCATTACGTATTTGTAGGTACCTAGTTCATATAATGTCTACTTACTATCTTTGATCACTTTTCTTTTCATCTAAAAAAATACGTAATATATAATGTATATCTTGATGGTGATATAAGTGTCTAATATCTAAAACGCACGTGCTTTATGGCCTTAGATTCAGGTCAAAGTGACGTTGATAATGACGCTCATCCATTGCCATGAGACTTAAACCTCCATTTACTTAGGCGCGCGCCAGCGGGCCCAAATAGTTTCTTCCAATCTCCTCCTCCTTCGCCCCGCTTGCCCCTGCGCCCCGCCCTCTTCCCGCCCTCGCGCACTATTTACTCTGGGCCGGGCGCGCCGCCGTCGCCGAGGCTTAGGAGAGTCGTCCGCGACGAGGCCGGAAAGGGCGCGGAAGCGCGGGAGTGGGCTAAGTCCCCATCTCGTTGAAAGACCGCAGGAGCCCTGAATTCTGCCTTTCAGCTTTAATTGATGGTCCCGCGCTCGTCTTTCACCGCGCTGCGCTGCGCTCCGTCCGCCCCGTCCGCTCCTCTCCGTCCACCCGCCCTGACCGCTCCGCGACGCTTGCCGCTGGAGGATGGCGCTTATTACAAAAGAAAAAAAACTTGTTTTCATTTCCAGATTTGTTTCATCTTCGCTTCGGTCACGGAGCTTGTAATAGCTTAAAATAACCGGTTAATGCCTCAACCGGTTAATGCCTCAACCTGTTACACACAACACAAAACACGTGTTACACATTACACAAAAATACGTGTTTACGATATCACAGGAGAAATATTATTTACAAACTAGTAAAATTGTTACACATATTTTGATATTTATATTCCGTATTTTATGTTAACGGTTCTATTTACAAACAATCTATAGGTAGAGCTCAAATGCAGTCCTGACTACCTCCTATATTCTCACAAATTATCCACTCGCTAAAATTCTATTGTACTTTAACGTGATTTTTGGACAGATGGGAAAGTAAAATCACCGCGTGGAAAATATTTTACTTATTGCAACAGGACACGACATAAGAAATCATAATGACCCGATTTAACGAATTGCATTATTATATATTATAAAAATGAGAAATTTGAACAGCCATACTTTTATGAGAAGGATGTATAGCAAGAAAATACAAAAAAAGCGTTTGTCAATACTAAAAGTGGTTTCATTCGTATTTGATTTTTTTAAGGTAAAAGAAATTAATGTACTCGATATCTAAAATGAATGTAATGGAATGAAACTGGATTATCATTTTTAAATTCTATTCCTAGGTCTTCCCACTCTTCCCGTCCTCAAATCCTTACTTCGTTTTCGGACCCTCCTCTCGTCCTCGCTCAATCCCCCCTCCCCCACGGGCAGTGGCAGCGGCCATCATCGCAATCCCTCCGCCCGGCCGCGCGCGCGCCCTTCCGCTCCGGTGGCCCGGCGCCCCGCGCCGTCTTCGCCCTCGCCCCCCCAAAAAATAAAAGCCGCACAGCCTCGCCCCGGCGCGCGGGGCCTCGTCGGGGCAGCTGGACCGCAAATGGGGGCGGCATGCGCGCGCGGGAAGGCCATCGGGCGCGGCGAAATGAGTCAGGTTCGCCAGCGGCGAGCGCCGGCCCGGCGCGGGGGCGCACGGGGCGATTGCGGGGGTGAAGTTGCGCGGGACGGAGGTTGAAGTGCAGCGTGCAGGGCGAAGTAGCTGGGAGGAGGCCGATGCGGGATGGGTGGGGAACGCGCGGAAATGCCGTGGGGCAAGCGGGGCGGGGCGTGGCGAGGGTGGCTATGGCGGAAGTGGAGTGGCGTGCGGGGAGTGGGTGTGGCGGGGGCGGGGGTGGGCGTGAGGGGGGGTTGGCGAGGGACGGTGGCGTTGGGGATGACTCGGCCGTTAGGGGCCGATTGGGGGGTGGCGGGGCGAGGCTGGATGCATCAGAGGAAGGGGAGAGTGGCGGGGTGTGGGTGTTGTGGTGCGGCGGCGGCGGGGAGTGGAAGTGGTGGAGATGGATTGGGGAAGCGTGGCGTGGAAGTGGGCATACGAGGTGCGGGATGGCGCGTGGCGCTGCGTGGTGGTGCTGCGGTGATGGTGTATTTCCAGTGTTTTCCACTAGGGTTTCGGGCACCGTTAGATTGCCTAACAGGCCCGTCCTGATTTTGGTTCCCGTAGCCGCGAGACCAAGCGGTTAGGCCTCTGCAACTACATTAAAATACGACCACGATTGACACTTGAATGCCACTTGTTCCACGAAAACCGCCTATCTTAGAGTTCCATTGGCTCTAGGTCTGTCAGATAGATTCGCATAAAGGTATCTCACGTATGGTAATCGAAGTACAGGTATTCAAATATGGTGTCTTTAAAATAGCTTTTTAAATTATCAAATCGGAATGTGGAGATGTAAAAATGCTTCTTTTGGTGTATCATGTTTGAATGTATCACGGTTTTGTCCAACTCCGATAACTGATAATTTATTTACGTTACAGAGTTCTCACCTGAACAGCCCAGATCCGTTGAAGTTGGATGCAGTGAAAAGCAGTGTTCTGCAGGTATTTCCATTTAATTTAATTAAATATAATATGGAATTTAGTTTCTTGTAGCAGAAATTACATGATGTATGCTAATAATATGAAGAATTCAAACTTAATTTTCATATGACTACATTATAGTGAAATTTTATTCGTTTACATACTGTGCATCCTGCAATATGTACTAGTGAATTTTTATTTGTGTTAAGTGTCATTAATATATTATGTCTATTGCACCTTGATAGGCTGTAACCACACTGTCTATTTCTTCCTTTTTTATTCCTTTTTCTTATTGATTTCTTTCTTTTCGGTTTATTTCTTACTTTCTATTCTTAAAAATACGAGAATTACCATTGAAGTAATTTTTTTTGGTTCGATTATTTGTAGATGCTCGTTTGAGTTTTTAGATTTTCTTGACTCTCATGGTCGCAATGTTTTTTATTATTAACATTATTATTATTAACATTATTATTATTAATAATATTATTAATATTAATATTATTATATGTTGTAATCAGGATTACAGCTTGTAATTACTACTGTATTAATTTTAAGAAATAGGTTAATTTCTGTTATCACGTAGATTTGTAAAAATATTTTGACATTTTTTAAAATATTCCCAAGAATGATGAAAACGTCAAAATGTTAATAACGAATTTGAAAAAATAATATTGTAGTGTCTGTTTTTGAAAAAAGAGAGGGAATATTTTTAAAATCTATTGTATTGAATTACCTCCCGCTAGCCCTCTCGAGTACCTTGAAGCGCGGTGCGTCTCCTGGAACTGGAGCCGGTGCTTCGTTGTATGCCCGGCAAGAAAATACAAAAATGTCGCCTCCTCGCGCACGAGGGCGGGGTCCATGAGGGTGCGGGGCGGGGCCGGGGCCGCAGGTCTTCTTCGCCATCAGCGGCTTCTGCGTCTCCGCTTCCGCCGGCGAGAGCCGTCTTAAAATAAAATATTAACGAGCGGGGAGACCCCTTGAAAGCAGACGGCCTGAGAGGGCTGTTTTTTGCCGGTAGACGCAACGCCCCATCGCGCGAGGACACTGTAAACACGGTGGAGGCGGGACGACGGGGGAGCAAGCGGGGGAAGAAGAGGAGGCGAAGGCGTACTACTAGAAGGAGGCGAAAATTCGGAGGGGAAGGAAGAGGAGGCGAAAGCGACAGAAGAGGAGAAGGAGGCGAAGGCGACGGAGGAGGAGGCGAAGGCGACGGAGGAGGAGGCGAAGGCGACGGAGGAGGAGGCGAAGGCGACGGAGGAGGAGGCGAAGGCGACGGAGGAGGAGGAGGAGGCGAAGGCGACGGAGGAGGAGGAGGCGAAGGCGACGGAGGACGAGGAGGCGAAGGCGACGGAGGAGGAGGAGGAGACGAAGGCGACGGAGGAGGAGGAGGAGACGAAGGCGACGGAGGAGGAGGAGGAGACGAAGGCGACGAAGGTGGAGGCGAAGGCAGTGACGGAGAAGAGGATACCGAACGGTTCCGCGATATGGGTGCAGCGAGGCAGGACTCGCCCACTCGGCGCCTCCGTTAATGGCGGCTGTTTGTGCAGGGCTTCCGCGATACACCAAATTGTTTTCCTTCTCGAGGAATAATGGGTCCTCTTGTCGAGGAATAATGGAGGTCACTTGTTCATAGTGCCTCAAGAAACAGAAAATGTTTTCTACTACTACCGATATATTTATGAGTAATCTTTCTTAAAGTATTAATACCAGAGTGATTTTACAAGAACTACTAAAGATTTTCTAAGTTCCTGTTTTGTTTGCGGTGAGTAAATGCGTACTCCGGTGTTGCAGGGATTACCACATTAGCTTCCAAAACCAACGTTTGTGCATTCAATTCATGCTGGAGACAGTAAATTTTTAAAGGGTGGAACATTTTCAATTTGCCATGTAAAGAAATATCTGGCAGCTAGGCGGCAAAAATAATGCCCTCCCCTCAGTTATATACGAATCGTATCCCACCCCAATGCGATCCCATACTCGCCCGAGCGGGCCGCTTGGACGTAGTTAACTGAGTCCGGCATCTGGCGGAGGGTGTGAGGATCACACCCGGGCGCTGCAAGTGACGCCCAGGAGGCTCCGCTGCGCGGAAGACCTGCGCCTGGGAAAGGCTTCATGGCGGCCTGGGGCGAAAGGGCAGCTGCGAAGTCAGCGACCAATTCACGCTTCGCTGCTGGCAACATCGCGCTGAATAAAAATAATGCTCGTTTTAAAAGTGGTTGTCTTACAGAATTTTTGTTGGATTCTATTTTGTTAGTTCGTAATCGCAGAAAACTCGGAGTTGTTTCGCGAAATATTTTTTGTGCGTTTTTTCATTTGCTCTATGAAGGGAACATTAGGGACCACTACATACACGTATGAATTTAAAAAAAAAAAGTTTTGTACAGGTTATAAGTATTTAATTCAACTTCGATGTCTACTCAGAGTACAAACAGAGGGAGAAAATATTCAATGGCCTTGGAGGCCTTGGAAACAAATTATTTTATGCCTCGTTCGAATATCATAAACGTCCTCAACCTGCGGTATGTTGATCACCAGAAATCTGGAATGACAGGGCTGGTGGTTCTACGTTACATGTCAAGTTGACAATTAAATGTTCCTAATTAAAACTGAAGACATCAAGATTTACTACTCAACAGTGATGTAACTCACAATGTCCCTAAAATTCTTTTTTGACTTGTCTTTAGAATATAAGTAAGTATTCATTAAGTTTGAAGAAACAACACAATTTCAATATTAAAAGTGGTATCTTCCTAAGCATTTCGTTTAATAATAGTTCGTACAAACATCAAGCTTTGATATAGTAGTTCGCTGACGTTTTCAGGAGGTTATAGAAATGAAAAGTGGTAGTAACGCTGTTGTATATGAAATGATAGATGAATTGTTGAAGTGAAATTTAGTTCAAAATTTCTTGTGGGAAGTGAAATGTCGATATATTTTCCTCCACCAAACAATGCAATTTCGTTTTGTACAATAAAACAATTTATGATTTTCCTTTAGAAATTGTATTCATAATTATAATTTGCAAAATTATTTTCTGCGTTGTTGAGAGAATGCAATCTCGTCAATTGAGTTTGAACGTAATTTTCCTGTAAAAATGAGAAATGTTTTTCAGTAAATGCCTTATTTTTTCTACGAGGGTCTATTACATTGATTGAACAATTAAAACATGTACGTCAGTATTGAAGTTATTATTAAAATTCATAGATTTAATAAATGTTGAACCACAATCACAATATTTTTATTGAAAATCACATTTAATTGAATATTAATAGAATAATTTTTCCCAACGCATTTCGCCAAATGACAGTAGTTTTTAAATTGGTAATCGAAACAATATTTTCACATTGTGAGCGATACGTTCATGTACCACAGCATATTCTGATAAATTCGTGATAACGTTATCTTAATAAAATTAAAATCAAGAAACGTAAGTAAATTGTAGAGTCGTAAAAGAAAATGTTTTGTCGATTTAATATTTAATTTAACTTGCTGGAACCATACATTTTTGTTCACTTTATATGAAATTATAATAACAATAAAAATAGTTATTATTTTGTTATGCGACTCCGATGATTGTTCATTGATTGCCAAAAATGTAGGTGATATAAATAATGTTTCAATTGGCCTTCACTAAAGAACCTTTCTGTTATAAATGTAAAATTGCCACTCGTTCGGGAGTTTGAAACTTGAATGTTGATTCTCCCTTTTTGCTTCTGCTGCCCCTGTGGCCCAGCGTCCGGCGAGGAGCTCCGTCGGAAGGGGCGGTCGCTCGATCGCCGCTGCAACGACTGGATGCGAGTGCGAAATCCCGCCCCCGCCGCGGCCGCGCGGTTCTCGCGTCTCGGTGGAGTCCCGCGGCGGCGGTGCGCGGGGGCGGCGGAGGGCGATGGGCGAGGGCGGGTGGGACGGTCAAGCGGCTGCCCGGAGGCCGCCCGGGCCGGTCGTTGACCTCAAGTTCCCAGCCGAGGATAGCCCGAGTTTAACCTCCGACCGAACGCCGGACGGCGGACGAGGCGCGCGGCGCGGGCGGAGCGGGTGGAGCGGGCGGGGGCGGGGGCGGGGGGCGGGGCGAGGTGTCGTTGGACGCGGTAGTCGCTGAAGGCGGCGCGCGACTTGATGCGCTGGACGGAGGAGAGGCACGTGGCAATGGGAAGCGGAGGGCTAGCCGATTCGTTCAGTGCGTTCGACTCAACTCGTTCGAATTTGCAAGCTGCAACTTGCCAACAGCAAGACCGAACGTCTAAATTATCTACGCAGTTAACAAGCCCATCGTATGGGTGCCACATAAAAATGACTACTTACGCGAGGACATAAACACTTTCACAGTCCGAACAAACATTCATATCACATGGCACAAACATATTCACGAGCATTGTGATTTTCCCAAACATTTCTTCACCAGTTCCCGAATTCTCCTTAAAACTTTGTAAAAAATCTAATATTGTATGATTTTATTCAAAATGTCCCTGTTTTATTTTCATTTCAAATGACATTCTGTAAAATCCCTCTATTGTCCTAATAATGATTAATAAATGGAGAGACTGAGTGGTATTAGTTTATTTTCTCCAAAAAGTTCTTCGTTTTATGCTTTCTTTGAATTTATTCCTTTGTAATAAGGGGTACTGTTAAATATTAATGATTTGTTGTTAACTGATTGATAAGTGACAACTTCGCATGATTATAATTTTAGAATAAAAATAATGCACGATTCTAGCAAAAAATTATGATAGTAATATTTTATACCCTCTAATTAACTACCCTCTAAGAATAATTATAAACTCGTCTTCGTTTCTGAATTTTGAACAAAAAAATTCTTTTTACTTCGTAACAAACTACTTCAGTTGTATAGAGAAAGCTGTGTGAAGGAGCGACCAAAACGGATAATATTTCGTGAGAAAATTGTTTTTGTGATATCCCGACACCTAAGAACTGCATAAATATGCAACGAACTTGCAATATGTAGCGAATTACTTCCTCTAACACCTTTGTAGTCAAACATTTTCCGGGTCCTTGATAACGAAACGAATTTGGGTTTCGACCAAAGGCCTGCCGGGGTCCCCCGTTGGTGACTGTCGGTGTCTGGATTTTGACGTCTGCCATTCAAGCCGCCGATCCGAACAACTCTGGAGGTTAAATAGTTATTTTTAAAATTTTATTTATTCTACTTGTTCTACATAAAAAATGTCTTTCAAAGTCATGAACAATTACAATATTTTCACAATTCAATAAAATAGGAAATATAACATATAAATAAAATATAATTCCTAAAATTACCCTTCTAAAGGGTCCTTCTTAATGACGTATTTACATTTTTTCCTTCAGTTTGAATTTCATACTGCTAATTAAGGAGGTTGAAAGGGATCTTTTGAATATCGAGTCTAAATGCGGGAAAAAGTACTACATTTTTGCCTTATTTAAATTTATTAGTTGCTGGACAAGATTGAAGAGAAGAATAAAAACAATTTAATAATTTTAAACTATACATTCTTATTGAATCTATATCTAAATATGATCATTACGAATAAACTAAGAAGCTTTTAATATTTGACGTAAAAACTTTGTTTTGAATAACTTCTAATTTGCCTTTATGTGTTTTTGTGCTACCCCATGTAGGACAGTTGAGAGGTTTGATTTTGTATTAATGAACGGTTATAATTTAACAATTTTTATATGTGCATTATTAGATATTGTTGAAATGTGTTTTTCCTATGTCAATTTTGTCTATTTGTAAACCTAAATATTTAACTGGGGTGGAATTCGAAAGCCAATTAATAGCTTTATTATTTAGATTAATTATCAGTGGATAAGCTAGACGAATATGTTTCGATGAAAACATTTAGGTTGAAATTTTTGAGTGTTGATTTTAATGTTTCAATTAGTGATCCAGGTATATAATGTATTTAAATATTTTTATTTGTTATCTCGATCTTGTGTGAGATCCAAGTGTGCAGTAAATATTGCAGTATCATTTGCAAAAGAGGCTACGTCTGAATAAGTGCCTTTACGGATGTCAAAGATAAAAATATTAAAAATAGAGGAGAACCTCGGGGAATTCCAGCATTAATAAGTTGTTCAGATGAATGTTACTTAATTTGACTTTAAATTTTCGGCGTAAAAGAAAATCATTAATAATATTTTGAAGGTAGTGAGAGAAACAGAGTTGACGTAGTTTGTATAGTATTCCTTCATTCCTAACTTTGTGGAATGCTTTCTCTATTTATAAGAATAATGCAAATGTTTTTTGTTTCTTTTGAAAATTAGTGGCCATATAATCAAGTAGGTGTAGAAGTTGATGCACTGTTGAATGATTTTGATGAAATCTGGTGAGTGGATATGATAGATCGACTAGAGCATCGAAACGGATAATTACAAATTAATTCTCGGAATATCTAGATTTGCAGCAATTTCCGGGATCGTAAGAAAGGTCTGCAGAGTAGGAATCTTGAAAGACTTTAAAATGAAACCCATTAAACTTTGGATACACTTATACATAGGTGCTTTAGATCGCAGTTGCAGGAAAGCAACGAACGTTACTGGTCGTAAAAAATTAATATTTTACTTGAACGCTTAGGCCTCGGAGAAGTTTCACAGGAAACAGTGTGGGATAGGGCAT